GGGTCATGGGGGGTCGTACTCTTGGGGGTCAGTAACAGCAGTGGTATCGTGGTGCAGATAGGTAAGAGGGTATAGCGCAGCAGAAAATGAAAATATCTGAAAAAAAACATATTAAATATTTCTTTGCAGGTTCAGTCGCTCCATTCCTCCACCTTCATGAGAAGGGGACTCTATTTGAAAGCAGTTCAAAAAATGGAAATGCATTCCTGCATGGAAGACGGCCACATGTGCACACGCGCTGCCAAAGGCACCTCTCCTCCATCTATCGCCCGCTCCCTCGCCCTCCCTCAAAAACCGTCGTTGAAAATGCCACTGATTAGGGATGGCTGTCGGCAAAAAACTACAGACGCGTAAAGAAAGACGCGTGGGTAATGTAAGCGCTGTTCCTCAGGTTATAGGTTACGAAATGTGTTTACTACATGCAGCCTCTGTCAGTAATGTCATGATCATATGACACCTTTCAATCGATTCTGCAACTTCGAGTGGAAGGTCGGATGCATGGCTTACACTCAGACAAAATCGATGATGACGATTGCCCCCCCACGAATTCGCAGCCTGCAATGCTGAAGAAGGGAGCGATTTTTTTTGCGCGGCCGAGAATCATTCTTGATCCATTTCGGAAATACAGTACCGTGCAGTGAAGTATTCGTTTTCACTTTTTTAAACGTAACTCCCTCAAAACTCAAGCTTTTGTTCCGATTTTTTGTAGGTGAGAACACATCACTCTACCTGATAAGGAAGCAAATCTTCAGTTGTCTAGGTGGCTTCTATACTAATTTAGAAATTTTTAATTTTTTTCGGTCCAATACCATATTACTTGTTCGAAATTCAATCTATCTAAAATTCAAAAATAATAACAAAATGACTTATATAATAACAGACGTAACAACTACAACATCAGCACTTTGTCGCAGAACCGTTTTCATCTACGACGGCTTGACACCGGCGAAGCACGGAATTGGGTTTTTTCTTGGTAGAGGTTCCCCTACGCGATCTTCAGTGGGACGGACTTTTCGAACTCGTTGTGAGCTTTTGGGCCTTCAGTTCGTACTCCGCACTGAGTTGGGGTGGTTCAAGACTTTGTGCCATACTGCTTTATTATGACTCTCATGACAGCAGAATCCTTTTTAGACGAACAGCAAAGAGTGGAATAATACCATGACAGCGATGGAAGAATGAAAGAGAGAACTTATTTCAATGACTCATCGCCTTTTATCCTGTATTATTCGCTCCGCCTCCCTCCTCGTTCCTCGTGACGTCAGTCACGATACTCTTCAGCTTGACTTCCGAAAATCATCCTACAGATTTTTGCTCTGATTCAAGTATGGGGACTGCGATGGCATGGCAGTGGAGGAACATTGTTGTTGCGGAACCATTGCGAGAGCGGCTTTGATTTTGCGCTTGGGGTCGGAAAATGAAACACTACGGGCGACACTGCGAGCATGCGGCCAGATAGCAGTCATCCATATGTTGAGGCGCGTTTTGGAATCCATTTCAGCCTCGGTCCGATGAAGGTGATCAACCCCTATGCCACAGAAGCTGCCATGCAGTATCACCGCACCCCCTGCATTCGTCACGTCAGCACATGGAACCTCGGATGATATCTGGTACCAACGGGAAGTCGCAAAAACTTGACTTCTTTCGTGCTAAACAGCAAAAACTTCGATTCGTTGCTCTAGATGGCTTTTTGTCACTCCTTAATAGTCCGTTTCTTGTGGGCATGAGCCTAATTGAGATGCGCTCTGCCACTCTTGAGGGGGAATCAGCGGTTTCTTACTGAGCTACGTCAGAAGTGCCCAGCATCTCTCAGACAACGTCGCACGTTGTCTTCGGACGGATTTAGACCGTCTGGCGTTGAGAATCCGCGGTGAATTTCGGGTGCAGCGTGATGCGAGCCACTCCTTACAAGTCGCACAATGATTCTATTGGCGAGAGAAGAGGTCATTTTTGCTACTTCTGGGCGCTTTTTGACTTTGGCAGGTTCAATGCTCTTGAATTTCTTCCAAGTCGTCCACTGGGGCTCCTTGAACTTCAAAAATCTGCTGGGATGTTAAGCCTTCGTAGAACCTCCGAAAGATGGCGTCACCTGGTCCTGCCACAAGCTATGAATTCCCTAATGTCTTGGAATGTTCTGAGTACTGTGTAGGCATATGAAACTGACACAAAACATCAAAAACACACGTGCTCTCAACATGGAAACTCATCGTTTATCAACAATGAAATTGGGTGCCCGCGGACAATACTCGAAAATGAAGCTCCATTTCCCCTTGAAAGGAGGCTATCGCACCGATACGCTGCTATAATATGACTACCTGTGTGTGTCAACTGCTGTCGAAGTTTTACTGCGAAAGCTTGAGTTTTGAGGAAATTACGTTTAAAAAAGTGAAAACGAATACTTCACTGCACGGTACTGTATCTCCTCAACTAAAGGTCATAGAAGGAAGCTAAACATACTGCTAGGAAACCGCAAACCTTCCATTTTCCAAAACTGTCTTCTCCTTTTCAATATTTTGCGAGATTAGAGAGTATTGCCTTTCAAGTGGCAAAAACTCGCATGAAAATTTCGGCCTCCTCGACGTTCCCTCGACGGTTTTCGAGAAGACTATATCTCTTCGAATGAAAGGCTTTCATAGCAACTCTAATATTGCCTGATAGTAGCAAGCTCCATCTAACCCTACCACGTGCTGTTAAAAAGGTTAGGAAATGGAGGAAAGGAACGCTTTTCATCGAGGGTGTGGATTTCGACGGTTTTTTTTTCGGCATTTCAGCAAACCTGACCCAAGGATAAATCGCGCCCGCAGCTCCCTTTACCAGGGTCCTTGTGGTCTTGTGACATCTAATCCTTTTGCTCCTCTGCGTCTCCCTCACAAGGCCAGACACCAGACACTTAGGCCCAAACTTTTGCCACAGGTTAAGTGGCTCACACACCCCCCACCCCCCTGAATTGGCCCCATTCCCCCTGGCTCACGCATTCTTACTTACTACTAGGTTCCCTCCACACCAAAAGGATTAGATGTCATACAACTGTCTTCGTATAGCATACATCCCGGCTGTTGTGATATACTGACCAGGAATTACGATCAATCGCAACTCGTGCTCTTAAGGATTCTTTCTGCGTGCATTTCTAAGGGAGCCTTTATAATCAAACAAAGTTAATGCCTCTTTCCTCGAGTCTATATTTCAGGTAATACCCAAAAGTGTGCAGCAATGAAGGAAAGTGCATAGATGACAAGAGAAGGCGTTTACAACATTATTTTGCAGGATTTGTTTTGTTTATTAGTTGAATTAATTGCGTATGCTCTGTTTTTTTTTGGGGGGGGGGGTGTCGTTGCCAGGACTTCGATTTCACCGGGGGTCGTACATTCTGCGACCACGTCCCCGACAACGATTTAAGACATTGTCTCCAGACTCAAATGGATTTAATCACACTTTGCTCAGCTCAAAGCGTGTGCTCCCAACTTAGAATTGAAGAGCGCATTTCATTTCATAAGAAAATCTTCATAGTGGCCATCTACGTGGACGGCATCAGAAAGTTTGCCCCGGAAACATGGTGCTCTGGTCGAGCTCAATGGGGTTCTCGACTGATCGTGTACCGTTACGACGGGTTCCGAAGGGCGGGTTCCGAGGGGGTTTGCATAGTTAGAGCTAATGTCCCTAGGAAACTATCCCACGTTGAATCGATCCAAGAAATTATGTAAGAGCTTCAGGCTGAAGCAGTTACTGTAGGCCTCCCTGAGCTCGACGACGGTGACAGATGACGTCATATTCTGAAGACGGTGAGGGTAGTGAAGGAGGGCCTGCGTGTACTTATAGAGGGACATTTAGGGAATATTTTGCTGAGGAACTTTCCGTCAACGACGGCAATCTCTGCGAAAAAAAAGGCCGAAGTGCGACCTGTGCAAAATGTCTTGGCCCCGCCCCCCCCCCTCTATCATCATCTGATACGGAACAATGGGACAATTTCAGTTCGCAGAATAGCTGTGATTTGGAGGTCGACCTGAAAAACCAAATTCGAAAAGAAACGCGGCAAGACTTTTTGAATAACCTAATGTCGGAATCTTCAAAGGGAGTCATGACTGAGTACGGTATATCATTGATCGATTTCTCCTAGTGGAAAACAGTTCGAGTTGGTTGCCGGTTTGCCTATTTTTCACCGACTGAACTTCTTATTTTGCAAGCCTGAAATCCAACAGTTCATAATGAATGAAAACAAGAGCAAAAGCTCTTGTAGAGCAAACAATTCTCTTTCGGATGGTATGCCACACCATGTAGAATCATGGAAGTTTGGAGGAAAAACTTTCATCTGACGAGAAACGACATCACTTATTAGTGCATTACTGTATCACTTATTAGTGAACCTAATAGTACTTCAACTATGGGGAGGCTTTGCACACCATGAACCACCAAACCATTTCTGAGAAGTGATGAGATCTAGTTAAAAAGTAAGCCACTTTCATTAGTTAGCTGAAGGCAACTTGAGATGCTGGACTGATCCAGCAACCACGCAAGGAAAACTAAGATTGGTCATCCTGGGGACAGGTTCAACCCTGGGGACAAGTACCAGCGGAAGGTCGTAGTTTGTTGAGTTTGTGGGAGGGTCGTACTTGCTTCAGCAGCACGAAATTACATGTAATGGGGTGAGAGCTAGTGGAAACATAGGTAAAATAGGGGAAAATGAGGGAAAAAAGTGAAATACAAGGAATTTTTGCGGTTTAATGGTAGTTATATACCCCCTCCGTTCGACGTTGTTTTTCGTTTTCGAGGGAAAAAGAAGTTGTGAGGAAGGGGTCGTATGATATCTCTCATGAAGGAGGGGGGTCGTGAAAATTTTTCAAAAAGTCCCAACGGTAGGGTTGACCCTGCCTGGGACTGTTTTGGAGAGTAGTCCCCCCACCACTGACAAGCCATTTTCAGTGGCATTAGTAGAAGACATACCAGTTTGAGCTACTATGCAACGTAATTTTTGATGCAAAACAAAATAGTGAACAAAAAATGGTTTCGAAACTTACATGGGCAAATGTGGACGGGAAACTCTCAGTATGCTCAATAACATGCGCGTAGCCGTTACTGAGACCAAAATCGACTGCAAAATAACTGAAAACAATGTATTTACCTTCGCTGCAAGGACTGAAAGAACTTCACTAAGATTACCTGAAATTCTTCGGGATCTGTCGTCGCAGGTCCTTAATTTCGATAAGCTTTTTGTTGTCAGCATATTCGTCTTCACATTCCATGATTGCTTTCTGTAAACAGCTCTTCTCCGTGGATGAAAACAATAGGCAACAAGATGTCCGAAAATTCACAAAAATAAGCATAGAAGCCCAATCGGAGCGAAAAAGTTGTGTGAGAACCCAACTTTTGTATGCGTGCTATGTATCCTTTCCTTCTTTAGAGCTTCAAAGGCACGCTCCAGGATTAGGTGCGCTCGCCTATTCCACCCCAGGGTTGTAGACAGGCGGACAAGCGTCTGATGTCGCACCCCTTTTGCCGCTTTAAAAGTGCGCGACAAAGCCGCAAGGAGCTACTCGTCTGACCTGCAACTCACAAACTCACACCTCACGTCCGCAAGCCCCACCCTCCGCTGTCGGTTGCCACGTGGCGCTGCTTGAAAAGCGCGGGCGCATTTGAGGCAGCGGTCCCATTGCGACCCAATGTCATTGGCACTGGAGCAACTAGAGTTAGGTTCGTGAAACTCGTCCAACGACGTGGAAAATAGGGAAGGTCTCTGAGCGGAGCGTAATCGGTGGTTTCCGTTTGTTTTCCTTCTCTCTTTACAAACCACATCCAACTCTAGCTTCATAACAGAAAGCTTTTCCACACCAGCTTTATTCCGAAACTTGCCTTATACTCAGTAAGTAATCCACCCAGTAAAGGCACGCCCCATGTGAAAAATTGGTATGTGGGTTGGCTTCCATACTCTAACAAGTCTGAGCAGAAAAGGAAGGTAGAGTCAACCGTGGTCGAATACCTATCGTCATTTCCCGTTACTCTCGAATCGCCGGTAACATCGCTCGAACCCTGGGGTAAGTTTTTGAAGCCGCGTGGCAATGCCTGAATCGCGAAGTCTGATACTGCCTTAGCGCTACCTCTGACAATTTCGTGTGACAATGTTGGTGAATCTTGTGTGCTTGCGGGCACCTCCACCTCTCTCGGGCTTGGCTCCAGATCGAATCTCCTCCCGAAGGCCCACTACATTTCATGCTGAAAAATCATCTTACAGACGGAAAACACGATTCGAAAGAAGTTTCGACTCGACCTCTGCAACAGCTTGAAACTGCCGACCTCTATGGTAAGAGCAGCGGCATCGACTCACCCGTGAATGCGCTGGGCAACATGTCACTGTAATATGATCCAATATATTTATTGGGTTGGTGCATAATATCGTAGCGCTTGCATTTTTCATTTTTGCACGCAAACGTTTTGTGAAGAAATTAAAAACATAAAACTAATCAGGGATGTCCACTTTGCCATTATTTACGACTTTTATCCTATTTTGCAGAAAGTCACTGGATTTGGAATTGAAAAAAAGATGTTGGGCTCGCTCGAAGTCCTCATTATTTCGCAATTTGTACGACATGAATACGGTCTTAATTTGAGTGAAATATGTAGGGTTGGTTAGAGAGAGGTTCGATAAGAACAATGGATTCTGAAGAACTTTTGTTTTGACGGTATTTTTTTCTTTATGTGAACTGAAAAATAACAGCTGTCGAAATGCCGATTTCTGCCGTCTGGATTTTCCAACTTCTAAGCATTATGTATGAGTACAAATATAATTTTGAGGGAAATGACGAAGTAATTTTTGTAGAGCGAAAAAAGCACTTTCAAAAGGTATAGGCGATTTTTAGGGTTTCTCTTGTACTGATTGAATTTATACGCCCAAAAAAAACGCTACGATATTAAAATGTCGGCACAACCAAATATGATGACTTGCTTTTTGTTGGATAGATATTAACAAAAATGTTTTTGAAATGGCACTAACTTTTGTGAATAACCCACATTATCTTGAGTATGCCTTTGTTAACTCCGTACATGACCCGTTGTAAATTTCAACTGGGGATAGGGATTGCCGAAAATTTCTTCGTCTTAGGTTTTGATTCCTATCTTTCTTTCAGAAAGTTCACAATAGTATTATCTGTTAACACCAAAAAGGCGCGCTTCATTCGTGGATGTGGGTACCAAACTTGCAAAATCGGTCTTCCTATACGACAAGCGATGCCACACATAATTTATCAGCGCAAAAGTTGTGCCCATCTTCTTCTGTTACAACGTAGCGATACTTATGAGGACTTTACAGCAAGGTAGTGTAACAATACTTCCTATTTCACCGTAAGTAACATTATTTTCTCTTAGTGGGTGTGCGTCAATCTTTTCTACGTCTCCAACTATCTGAGCACTCTGGGAGACTACCAATGGGCAAAACTGAGCTTTCTTAAGTAATGCTACCGGTTAGAGTTGAACCAAAAACATCTACTGCGACGACATTAAAGGCTGCCTGTCTTCTACATAATGCAAAAATAGCAATGATGGCTGGCAAATGGACAGCGAATGAAAAAAGAACGGTGAAAACAGATAGTACAGCGATTTCCTAGCCAAAGGAAAATGAGAATGGTTCGCTTTTTAGGTTTCTTCGACATTGGTATTTTGGTTTACAAAGGTTAACCTTGCAACAAAATTCGTATCTCATTTCCTCAACATACATGCTTTTTCCATGTGTTACCTTACTAACAGGTAATAGTTACTTTTTGCTCGCTTGAGGCGAGGGGGGGGGACTGTATTAAGGTGGGCGGATGCATCAGAGGCAGGTCAAAAGTTCGTTGGACTTTGTCCAACGAGGGGTGGGGGGTCGCATTTGGGAGGGGGGTGGAAATGAGGGGGTCGTATTTCGCGAGATAGCGTTCAGCAAGGAAGGGATGATTTTTCATGGAACCGAGAGCGGAGTAAGTTGTTGGCTGGGATTTTGAGTGCGAAAATTTTGCTTTTTCACATTCGATATATACCCCGCTCGACGGCAATTTTGGAGGAAAAGTGGGCGGAGTTGGGCTGTGTCGACTGGTCTCAGAATCAAATACTATAGAATCGCCCCATGATGGCGATGGAGGGGGGGTCGTATCGAGGCCCTCTAAAAAGGGGGGGGGGGGTCGTAAAATTTTCGAAATTGGTCCAACGTGACGGTTGACCCTCATCAGAAGAACCCTTTGGAACCATAGAGAACCATGTTGGAGGAGTCCTCTGTGGGGCATCTGTTCTGGTGAGAGGAGTAGGGATCATAGTCGTATTCAGGAACGTAAAAGGTAATCGGGATTTTAACGCAGTCACATTCCAATACTACGCGTTCCGTCCAGCGGACGCCACTTACCAGGGGATGCATTCTGCTTCCCATGGAACTTTGAATTGAGAGATATGTCGATAGAGCTTCAAAGGCTGATTACAAATATGGAAACTAAAACTGCAAAATGAACTGCCAAGGAAGTTGTGAGCAGTCAAGGTTGGCTGAAGGTAAAAGCATTCGTATAATCAACCCGTTCCGTAGTCTCCCGGGCATCAAAGAGTCGCCGCGCGGAGTAGTGGAAGTAGTGCCCTCGCTCTCTACCCGGGAGGTTATATGTTCAGTTCCCATTGGTGTGCAAATTTCGAGAGCACTACCACTACTCCACGGCGACTTTGAAAGCCCGGAGGCTACCACGGTTGATACGTAACGCTTTACTTCAGCCAAATTTGACTGCTCACAACTTCCTTGGCAGGTTCATTTTGCAGTTTTAGTTTCCATATTTGTAATCAGCGTTTGAAGCTCTATCGATATATCTGGGTCTCAATTCAAAGTTCCATGGGAAGTTGAATGCCTTTCCTGGTAAGTCGAAATTTCGAAGAACGTATGCTGAAGTTGTGCGCGTAGCGCAGTACCAGACCAACACGACATCATGAACCATCAGAGGATGGGAAAAGAGTCCAATTCATCAAATGGGGGAGGTTGGGGAGGGCAAGTGTTGGTCAAAATTTTTTCGACACATGTGCTTGTCCTGTTTGGGTCCTTATCAGGGAATGTTGTAAGCTCCCCACGGAACTTCAAAGGAGAACTAAGTGTATCGATAAAATCTTGGACGCTGATTACAAATATGGACACTAAAACTGCTACGCGAACTTTGCAAGAAAGTTGTGAGCCTTAAAAGTTGCAAAAGAACGCTAATGATGAGGTGCAACCTATGTGGAAACACGGTTGCTTTTTGCCTGGAACTTGTCTATAAGGTTGGTGCCCTGATTACGAATATGAGACTCGTTTTGGCGTGCAGAGCTACGGCGGACGTTAATTCCAATCAAAGTAAAGCCCGCCCAGTGAGGGTTTTTTGCGCAAATTTGAAGGCTCATAACTTTCTTAGGAAATTCACGTAGCACTTTTAGGGTCCATACTTTGCAATCAGCGTTAAGGACTATCGATACCTAGGTCTCCTTCTAAAGTTCCATGGGAAGTTCAAAGCATTTCCTGGTTTGTAATCTAACACTTTGAAAGCAATCTGATGGCGAAGGCGATACCGTTTCAGAAGCACACAACCAATTCAGAGGCCAAAACGATCCATTATTGCGACCAGAGCCTTTGATTCAGGTGGAAGAAATAAAGCAGATCAAAATTTTCGCATCGAACACAGTCTCACTTTTTTCGAGACCTATCGGAAAGTGGCGCGATACTTGTTCTCACAACTAATGATGAAGGAGACGCGGCTCCACACTGTCTGGTCCCTTATCAATACGCAACTTCTTCGCTCTTTTAGGAGCGCCTCACTTCCAACTTTTTTTTTGTTTGCGAAAGTTGCACTGTCACGGTTCCTCAAGCAAATCTTCATCCTACTTTGTGAACAACCCGTTTATCAGTCCTATTTGTCGAAACATGCTATTATAGCAAAAAACGTACCGGGTTGTGTACAGTGTTTGGGTGGAAGTTTTCATGCTGTTCTATGGCAACGAAAAAAGGCGAAAATCGGTGCTAAAAATCGGAAAACTCGACAAAGGGCTGGGTTCACTTCGGCTTTTGAATAAGTTACGAATTTTCTAGGGTAAAAAACTTATGAGGATCAATCTTTGACGGAATAAAACTCACAACATTCAGCCGTGAGGAAATTTGATGTAAAGAACAATTTGAAGCTACTTTTCCGCTGACATTGACTGTTGTCATGTCCATTGCAGAGGAATCCAACGATTAAGGGGGTGACAAAATTTTGAGTGTAAAGGTCACAGCTTTTGCCAAAAGTTAAATTTTTTGGAGTGCCTACTTTATTTAATTTAAAGGCAAAAGTCGGGCTCAATAAGGGGTATTATGGCGATT